AGATGTCTCAGAATAGTACGAACTTCTTAGGCATGTTGAGAAGACAAAGATAACTTTCTCCAAATAAATTGTCAGAAATTGCATATAACGAAGTTTACACGTGACATTTGTCACTGATTACTAGGTAATTTGTCGTGCGCCGATTTTCGGACACGAAATATCATTCCGTCTGACTGCGATCTGCTTAACACTAGTATACGGGCGGGGGTTGCCAAACAAAAATCCATTGTTACACGTATAATGTCGTTAAATGGAATTTCCGTCCCTTGTAAAAATAAGATTATCTTTGACCGCTTTACAAGTCTCGGAAGTTTGTAACATTTATTTTGTGACATTTCCTGTAACACAGCCAATAATTTTTTGCAATAGACGTGTGTTGAATCCAAATATGGTATCAATTTTCTCTTATGACATAGTTTTTCAGTAATCGTACTTCTATTGTTCTGACGGGACATGGTTTCGCGGAACTCGCGGTAGACTTGCCTTGAGCGATGCGTAACAATCATATCCGTGCCCTTCTCAAAAATAACATAAGACAATGACTGCTGTTGCGAACCCACCAGAACTTGAGATTCAGCAAGTGCGTCCAACGAGAGAAAGACCCGTGTCCACTGCTCAAAGAATTACAAGATGTTCTATGACAATGGTTCATCCGTGTTCCCACGAGCTGTGCATTTCGTTCAGCTCCAAAGGTGAGTACTGCGCTTTGTCGCATCCCGGGTAACGTTTTCTCAATACAGGTATTTTCCATTTCGCGAGTTTTAGTTACTTCGAGGCATAAATACAACGATTATTTATGCGAAGTAGAATGATCCAATTCTCAAATACAATGTAAGAGTGATACTTTTGAATCGGTCAAAATGTGTTGCAGATTATGTTATATTTTATGCCTCGCACGTGTCCCAATCATCCAAATAACTTATGATAGTGGTTATTTTACACCAAAATCCAAGAGGCGCAAGATTTCCCCACGATATCAGAAGCTGTACCAGTTTGGTTCCCCTCTAGATGATTAAGATTTAAAAAATCAGTTATTTGCGAACTATGTGCAACAGGGTTAGGAAAATAAATTTAAAAAAATTCTATGTCCATTGCTACGATTTTGCGCGATTCAATCAACCACAGTAGTGATTGCTAGTTTTGCTGTGCCTTTAAGGGTTTCTCAGCAAAAAATAAACATTGACTTATGTATCCGAAAGTGCAGTCTGCAATAGGTCCAGGGCCTCATACCGCTTCATAAACCTCCATCTGAAATTTATGTTCTTCAAGAAACGGAATTTCCATCAAGGAGTGGTCTTGAAGTAGATACTTTTATCAGATCAAGAATATATTCCCTAGATTTCTAATACAGAAAAACAGAAATTTACACAATCTGAATTAAATGATCTCCTTAGGATCTTTCACTATCCAACGTTAATGCAGAACTGTTAGCATCTAGACTGAAAGAAAAATACCATGTTAATGTTAGTTTTTCCCATTATAGCAAAGATCTAGAGCAATGTTTTTCCTCGGACGCTCCAATCGTTTTCTCTAACGACGTAAATGGTCTTTTTATGGAATTGAAGCAACCGTACTCTTCGTAATCAACCGTAATCTTCGGAATGGCGCCTCAAACGCATCTCAGCACAGTTTGAAAGAAGTGTTATTGCACATCATGTAAAACCTATACCAATTGTTCACTCTATTCGTTTCAAAGAAATGTATGAAAATTTAAATTCTGTACTAGAAGCAATCAGTACAACCGTTATCTTGAAACACACGTAGAGATTTAAAAGTGACCAGTATTTGGATGGATTTATAATAACGGTTTACCAAGTTATTTTACTTTGTCTATGGCACAGTCGAGATACTTTACATTATATCAGACGTGGCAGGAAGCCTAGCATATCTTTTAATTCAGAAAAAGAAAATATCCCCCATGTCCCATTGATTGCCACATATAAGTTGCTACAGCCACCATTGCATATTAAGCCTGGCTTGATTCAAACCTTTGTAAAAATACTTGTCAAAATAAATTCGAATGGATTCCTGTACTTACGTGAAAGGTATCCCCTGTCAAACTAAAAGAAGGTATCTTTGTGGGACCGCAGATCAATGAGCTATTGAAAGACCCAATATTCGAAGAACGACTCAGTGATATCGAGAAGAGGGCATGTAAAAGTTTTCAGGAGCTCTCACACAGTTTTCTCGGTACACTAAAAACAGTGTAAGCTGGAATTGATCGGGGCAAAAAATTGGTTTAGGGCGGTTTCCGTTTTATGCAGGGTCGCCCATTTTTCAAATGAATATTAAACATTTTTCATTGCCAGCTTCTGAGTATCTCTTGCTTCAATAAGTTTGACCATTTTATCTTAGGTTAGAGTTTTCTGATTTTTTCCATTGTTAATTTGGTTGCGGTTTATAAAAATATACACCGCCTTACGGCCTAGTGGCTAGAGTCGGACTTCTTGCTGACTCATTCACAACACAAAGCCACACAACGCAATGCAATATGACTTTCTGATACCCTTATGTGGCCTGTGACTGGCCGATAGATACGATTTTCAACGCGGGGCAGGGAGAGAGTGAATTTGACGAAGCCATTCCCCGTACACCTTCCCAAGCTGAGAGAGTCAGGTGGGT